AAACATTAATTTTAATTTCTATGAACTTCATCATATATCCTGTTTAAAATTTGCTATCAGGTTTTCAGCCAACAATGTGGCACTACCTACATACAAAAAGACAATATATTTACATTATGAACCTCTCTTTATGACAAGTATTCTTTAAATAGTTATCAATAAATATGTTAAACAACCAACAGGACATCATACATTTACTCCCTGTTCAATATTGAACATAAGTGTTTATTTATTTTCACACATGCTTTACTTCCTTCCTATGCAGTTAAATTATTAGACAAATAATTTAAAGTAATCACAAAAAAAATTAAGACACAAAAAGCAAAACAAAATATAATCAACTACTAATAAAATGCAAGTAAAAGGTTTATCAAAAAACTTTTGATAATTTTAATTTTAATAATATTTTTAATAATAATAAAGTTGGAAGGGACCTTGGAGGTCATCTAGTCCAACCCCCTGCTCAGGCAGGAAACGCTATACCATTTCAGACAAATGGCTGTCCAGTATCTTCTTTAAAACTTCCAGTGTTGGAGCATTCACAGCTTCTGGAGGCAGGTTGTTCCACTGGTTAATTGTTCTGTCAGGAAGTTTCTCCTTAGTTCTAGGTTGCTTCTTTCCTTGATTAGTTTCCATCCATTGCTTCTTGTCCTGCCTTCAGGCGCTTTGGAGAATAGCTTGACTCCCTTTTCTTTGTGGCAGCCCCTGAGATATTGGAACACTGCTATCATGTCCCCCCTCGTCCTTCTCTTCATTAAACTAGACATTCCCAATTCCAGCAACTGTTCCTTATGTTTTAGCCTCCAGTCCTCTAAACATCTTTGTTGTTCTCCTCTGTACTCTTTCTAGAGTCTCAACATCTTTTTTACATTGTGGCGACCAAAACTGGATGCAGTATTCCAAGTGTGGCCTTACCAAGGCATTGTAAAGTGGTATTAATACTTCATGTGATCTTGATTCTATCCCTCCGTTAATGCAGCCTAACACTGTGTTGGCTTTTTTGGCAGCTGCAGCACACTGCTGGCTCGTATCTAAGTGATTGTCCACTAGTACTCCAAGATCTCTCTCACAGTTGCTACTATTGAGCAAGGTACCACTTATACTATACCTGTACATTTTGTTTTTCTAGCCTAAATGTAGAATCTTACTTTTTTCACCATTGAATTTCATTTTGTTAGATAGTGCCAGTGTTCAAGTCTGTCCAGATCCTCCTGTATCTTAAGCCTATCTTCTGGAATGTTGGCTATTCCTGCCAGCTTGGTGTCGTCTGCAAATTTGATGAGTTCCCCATCTATCCCCTTGTCCAAATAGTTGATGAAGATGTTGAAGAGCACTCGGCCTAGAACAGAGCCCTGGGGCACCCCACTACATACTTCCGCCCATGTAGATGCAGTTCCATTGAGGACCACACGCTGAGTACGGCCAGTCAGCCAGCTACAAATCCATCTGGTGATGATGCTGTCTAATTCAGTTCCCCTTCCCTTCCATTTATCTCCCAACTGCTAACCATTCCCAAATATTAGTCCTGTATTGCATATAGTACATAGTGTAGTTATTTCATCTATTTTTTATTGATCTCTTAATTTTACAATTAAAGAACTGCAATACGTTGTAAAGAAAGGAGCCATTTCAGATTAAATTAAATTATACTTCTCTTGTAAGTATATAATATCACTTTTGCTATTTCTGTATGTTTTCCAGTTTTGGTATCCCAATCTTACATACTGTAATTACAAAAGTTTCACTTTACCAACGTTGTGCCAGATTTGTTGTTGCAGCTGTCAGCATCTATCTTAGTAAATTGTGATAATTTTCATTTATGTTTTCTGGAATTATTCCTAATAAAGCATTAAATATTATTCATTTAAAAATCTGAATAATATGATGTATTTCCTTTCAATAATTCTGAGTTTTTTTAAATGACTATCAAATATGATAAAATGTTCTTTCTCTGTTATAGTGTTTCAACATTTCTTATTAAATGAACTATCATTATTAATGGGGCTATGTACTATCTGTAATACATTTTATAACAATTTTTTGTCAAATTATAGTTTGGAGTAAATTTTATTAATTTTTTTCCCCATAGCCATTCACATTGTTCTACTGAGATTATGACTTGAAGTTCTGAGCCAATTTTGCATCTCCATATTATATTTTAAAAACCATATACAGAGAGATTGTAATAGATTATTATGGTTTTGTATAAATGCTCAAATTGTGTGATCTTTCTCAAGGTTCCTCCTTTTTCTTTGAAATTACATTTCATTTTCCAGCAAATTCCAAGTACATCAATCATGGTACGTTTCTGTCTTCATTGAGTAGTTCTTGCTGTATCTGCACTCTATTTTCTGAGTCTGGATGCACAGTATTGGCGTATATGATTAAATTTTTCTTACTGTAGTTGTCCTTGAAGTAAAAGGCATTTGACAGGGACACTATTATCCTTGTTTTTAGAAAAATATTTTTTTAAACATTATCTTATATTTCTCTTCAATATTTTTTCTTTTCTTTCTTTTATACACAGACACTTATGGAGTTCACTAAGACACCTCTTTCCATGTAATTGATACTCTGCTGTTTGGGAATTTTATCCATTCTGTTATCCATGATAGGCAGCTTCCTCAATAATATAATCTAAGGTTAGAGATGAAAGTCCTCCTCTTTCTATTGAATCTTATGAAATTTTGACTCTTACTCTCTTATTCTTCCCACTCCATATATATCTATAGATTGTTCTTTGCAAGATATAGAAAGTTTTGTCTGAGATTGAAATTGATGCTATTTGGAATAGGAAATTCATATTAGATGGTATATTCATGTTTACTATCAAAGTAAGTTCTAGTTTATAAAGTTTTATTTTTTTCCACATATCAAGAGACAGTTTTATATTTTTTTATCTTGCCTTTTTTATAAATAACTACAGGCAGAGAACATACCTCATACTGCTTACTTCTATTTTCCCCACAACAACCCTTTGAGGTGATCTGTGCTGAGAACTGCCCAAAGTTACCCAGCCAACTTTCATACCTAAGATGGAACAAGAACTCACAGCTTCCTGGTGCCTTAACCACTAGACCAAATTGCTTTAAATTATTATATATATATTTTTAAGTATGTCTTTGTTCCATCTGTCAAATATAGTCTCAAGTATATCACTGGGTTTTTTGTTATACATAATCAGCTTATTTTTTTACACAGGTTCTCAGAGGTTAAGTATATCATTATTATTTTTGCTTTCTTTTCAGTAATTTGGCAACCTAAGAAATGGCCAAGTGTTTTACTGTTTTCATCAACTGTCTAATGCAGCCCTGTGATTATATAATTGTTAATATTACATCATCTATCAGCATTTCTTTTTGTATTCTTACCCTGAATTTTGATCCCACTAATTTATTTGACTGTTCAGATCTTGTCCATCAAATCTTCAAAAGCAATTACAAATAGTAAAGGAGAGTAGATGTCATTGTCTTGTACCTTTACATATTAGCAATGAATCCATAGCTAAGCCAAAAATTAATCGGCTCAGTTTATAAAATATTTGCAAGAAGTCACATGCCACCATGAAGACATGGAATATAATGCTTATCTCAGAACAGCACAGTCCTTGCAAGTAGAAGGGATATAAATCAGGATACAGGGATTGTAAAATAAATGTCAATAAATAAATAAATCTGAGAAAGACACAAAAGGATTTGCTGCTGCTGCTGCCCTGAGTTAAGAAAAGAATACACTACATTAACTATCAGTAAAAACAATGTGCACCATATTTTTACCATACATATTTTTTTAAATACCCATTAAGCATACCATACCTATATCTGTACTATTGAACAATTTTAAAATAAGGAGATGTGTACCTCACTTAGCAAGGTTGGCCCTGGTAGATACAGCATACCTCGTCTGGACATCAGATCTGTATGGTGCTACTCCATACCTACCATTGTCTAAATCAGGGTTGTTAACTATGGTCCTGCTCAGGAATTCTGGGAGTGGAAGTCCATAAATCATAAAAGTGGCAATTGTTTTCCACGTCTGCTCTTAATAGTCATTTCTAAGAAACCTGCACTCTGACTGATATCCTCTACTTATCTGGGCTGTATTGGTCCAGTGTCACATTTGGGCCTTCCTTACCAACTTTCTACCTTTGTCACACTGAAGAAAAAGATCTGAACAGAGGTTTCATTCTGATCCAGATACTAAGGGTATATGGAGCTATACTGATTTACTCATTCTTCTTTTGTATAGAACATCTGTATCACTTTGTAAATTAATCAATCACCTAAGAAAACTGAAAGAATGAGCAAATAAAAAGATTTAGGCTGTGCAGTAATCCTATACCCATTTCTCTGCCAATAATTCTTTTGAATTCAGTGGGATTTATTCCTGAGCACATATGTACAGTATAGAACAGCATTGTTAGTGGTCTATCAATCAGTTTTATGTTCCTGTTACCACTGGAATATAGTTTACTTAATAAAAACAATGCTGTTTTTAATTTTTCAATATTTTTAAATATACTGCTTCTACGTTTCTAATGTACATGTATTACATGTTTGGCTTGAACTTGAAGGAGACACTCATTAAAAAGGAAATCTAATAAAAGATTCCATATATCCTTGCATGTCAGAGTAACCATTCTTAACTTTCTTCTTTATACCTTTAATACGCTTAGTCTACATAAATTTATAAAGGTGTTATTTTTCCTCATTTTGCCCATCTCATTCAACAGAGTTCACAGGATTATTGCTTGCAACAGAATAATCATAAAGTTTCATACAAGTATCAGTGGGGGACAGTTAAAATATGGGGGGAAGGGTATTATTAAATAAAATACTTGCTAATGCTTCACTAACATTTTAAACTGATACAAATGTTCGCAACTTTTGTCAGTACCACAATGATGTTAAAATAGAGTATGAGTATGGACAGAGTCTTTCTTTCTGCAAAATTAAACAATTCAGAATATTGACAATCCAAAGTATATAATTTGCACTTACCAGACCATTGCAGTTGCTTATTGCTACTTTAGATGTACCATGCTGGCCACGTAAATATCCTGTATAGTGACAGTTGTCTAAAAAATCATGCTTCCACTGAGGTCCATCTTTACCCCAATATTCTACTGTGAAGTGTTTGGAGACCAAATCTGTGTTGAGACTCAAGTTTAAATGAAAGTGCTTGCCGTAGGCAGAAAGTTTAAAAAATAATTTAGAAACTGCCAGTTCTTGGTCATAAAACTCAGTACTTCTCTTCTTTCTTCCGCTGGGTTTAGTATTTTTCACAGTAAAGCTGAGGAAGGCTCCATTATGGTCAACCCTTATTGGGATTGTTAGTTGATAGTGTTCAAGATAAGACAGGAATTCCTCTTTCAAATCATATGGTAAACCAATCCAAGAAACAGGCATAAAATAGAAGAAAATATAAAAGGACACCAAAAGGAATAATACAACATTATTTACATATTATGATATCCAAGCAACTTCAGTTTAAGAATCAGCATTTCTTTAAGAAAATATTAGCTAGTATTAATAAAAAATCTGTTTTATTGTATATTTGCTGCTAAGATTTGTTATTTTTGTTGTCTATAAAAATAATTTGCATAAAAATAATTTGATAAATAACTAAAGGCTAGTTCATTATTAAAATTCCCAATGATTTCAAACAATTAGAAATATAAATAATGTCTCAGTTTAATGCCTTAATTTAGTCATCAAAATAAAGTATACAATTGTATATAATCCTTGTGTAATTCTCTATGTCACAAAGGATTCCCAAATAAACTGCAGTAGAAGAATTAAATCTTTGAAGGTGTTCATATATATCTATCACCCCCATTCAAGTTAACTAGGGAGTCAACATACAAAGAAGCTTAGTGTATGTCTTATAATGCAGATAGGATTAATCCTATTGCTGTAGGATCCTTAGCGCTGTAAACTAATCACACTTCAATAAGCAAACAAAAAGCAAATGTTTTAAAGCATGTTTTAGACTGTAATATTACTTCATGTTATTTAGACAATAATTGAATGCTGAGGATTTATTAATATGTAACAAACTAATTTTTTTGCCTAACTAAAAGTTTTAAATGTTATTTAGATGCCCTGAGAGAAAATAACTAAAATCGCAATTCATTTAAATTTTCTCTCAAATATATCAATATCTTTTAAGTGATTTGTATATATGAACACTCAGAAGTAAATTGAGTTCATTGGGGCATATGCAAAAATAAGCAATTTAGGACTGTAACCAAATTAAATATGGGTCAAAAGACATTAGCTTAAAACGTTTGATCCCTACCTTGAGAACTATATGAAAGCCTGCTGTCACCGTGATATTCTGATAATACCATAATTAAGCACAAAATCCAGGTCGACGTCTTCCACAAAATTTCCATAATTTAGAAGATGTAGGCTAACTATGTACTATAGTTTTAATTCCACTCCAGAACTATACCATAACCAGAAAATATTATATTTCTTCTGCTACTTCTTGTTCCACTTCTTGATAGATATTTTGAAATAACATAATTTCTTTCCTATATTTGCAGACATTTTCAGTCAAAAAAGCAAATTTAAAAATTATTCCTTCATATTGCAGTGAGGCGTTAAAATGAATAGTCAATAAATGTCCATTTCTTTACCTGAAAAGCACAAACAACATTGAAAATCATTATCACATACTATCCTAATCACTGCATTATCAATATTCTTGTTAACTGTAATAGGTCTGCAGCATTCTTTTTAGCTGATTTGTTTTTCATTATAATAGCTCAATTAAATATAAAATTCCAAATTCTTCAGAGTTTCAACCAAAAAACCCCCTGACTAATTAGTCATTTCCGGAAAATATAGTCCAATCTGCTTACAACTCTGTCAACCAATCTGGAGTTAGGATTGTAAAGTTTAGTATAGTACCTCCTATACCTTAATGTTTGGTTCCTGCTGTTTGATGACATTGAAAAGGAATTCAGTACTCTCAAAGGGTTCCAGTATGAGTTATCAACCATATTTCCTATAGAAGGTGTAAATCAGCATAACATAAGATGTCAATTCAATTCTTGTTCTTAGATATTAGATTTGTTATAACAGCTTTGGGAAAGTCAAAAGAATCTTTCATTGCCAAGTAGTATTTAAAAATGTTGGAACTTTCCCTACATGAAAAACTGAAAAAGAGTTTGAAAACTTCTGCAGTGAAGGATAATTTCACTCAGATTTATTTATAATTTATAATTTATAATCTATATTAACTACATTTTTCCTATAAGATTACCATCTGTTCAAATATGATTCTGGTTAGAAAAAAAATATTATTTGTTCATTTATCAATTTTTTAAAACCACCCATCTTCCTTATAGAGGGATTCTGGACAGTATACAGATGAAATCAAACCATAAAAACAGTATATAAAATTTAAAATAAGGCAAGGATGAGTTAAGAATCAATGTAAAATTGATTAAAAGGTGGGCTCAGGTCTTTTTGGGCACTAGCCAGCCCCATGGCTGTATGATCCTGTCTGAGCCTCAAGCAAGGCCGCAGAGCCATGTTTTTCACACCTTTCCAGAAGTTGAGCAAAGACTCTTCTAGCTACAGTACGGTTACTACCAGCTGCCATCATGAAGAATGCTTCAAATGTTTATATTTCTCTCTACATTCACCTAAGTATTCATACATAGCAGGGGTGTCGAACTGCTGGCCCGCGGGCCGAATATGTCATCCAGAAGTCGCACCCACCCCATTGCCGGCAATGGCAAAACCGTCCTGATATGTTGTGTGACATCACATGACGTCACGAGTTTGACATGTCTGATATATAGTAAGCTCTCAGCTTAAGAGGTGAATAGGCCTATTAAATCCAAAATGTACTGTATGACAAATGGAACTGTACACATAGGCAACATCATTTTTCATATCCACAATAGATTTTGCTTACTGCAAAGTCCATTAAATCAAGCTCTGATAAAAACTTCCAATTGCTTTTGGTTTTGTTGTTAAATTTTCTTTTTAAATTCTGTAGTATGGAATTCTGTTTCCTTTTCATTTTGGAAAATAAAAACATGACATTGTTTTAGTTATCCCACTCAACATCTTACAGGGGAAGGGTGAGGGTGGCTCCTTACTGGAGAGGAAAAGGCATTTTTAATAGTTCATCCCTATTAGAGGTTAACCCAATCACTGGGAGTAAGTTAATGTAGATTTGGAAAAAGCTCAGCAGAATGTGAGCAGGGTTCTTGATATACAGACAGGTATATCAAGTTGTGACATACAACTTCAACAAAGATATCAGATTCTTCCCAAAAAAATATCACTGTAAGTAACCTTACTCTAAAATAATGCTGTATATTGTTTGCCTGGAAAAATAGCTATATCCAGAAGAGTTCAGACTATTGGAAGCCTAATGAACAATTGAAGAAACCATTGGCTTGGCTTGGCTTGGCTTGGCTTGGCTTGGCTTGGCTTGGCTAGGCTGGCCAAATCAGGCCAGGACTCAACAAATCATTCTGGGAAATATTTCACAGAACTGAGTAGGCTTCAAGAAAAAATACACTTATTTTTGCTTGAAGTTAGTATGTCCATGACAAGCATATCTTAAATACAAGAGATAGATGGACATCGATAATAAAATGATAGACCTCATTCTACAAATATCACGTTTATGTCATTATTCATTAGATTTGCCAACATTTCTGTCGCTGCTTAAGAAAGCATAGTATTTGATTCTGTTAATTTTTTTCTCACTAAAAGCAATCTTCAGGGTTGGGCTACAAATGCAGGATTGCTGACGATCCCTCAGGGAACTTATAGGGCTGAAACTGGACTTGAACTCAGATCTTCTTGGTCATAATCAAATAATCTAACCACTGTATTATATCATCTCTCATCTTAAAAGTAATGACTGTACTTTGTTCCTACCTTGTCTCCAGCCTTGGTAAATTGTATTTTATGTCCGTTACATATATTTCAGAACCAGGATATTCTACATTTTCATTTAGAGTATGCCTAAATTTCAAATGGTTTCAGCAATGGAGAGCAGCATTTTGTGATCTTAAAAGTATTTAATCCTGTTATGCAAGCGTTATCTTGTATATTTTATTCACTCAAACTATCTATTGACATTTAGCACGAGAAAAAAGGCTTTTAGTCTATTTCAAATTATACAAATATTATCAAAAATCATACACATAAAAAGTTGTATACTTGCAAAACTGTCAAGTACATATTTAACATGCTTAAGGAGTTGGCCCTTTTATAACAAAAAACAACTGCTATAAAACAAAAATTGCAAAAAATCCCACAAAATTGTAATTTTGTTTCTTTTAAAATACTGGTCTCCAAGTATTTTATGCTAATACAAAACAGCTGTCTAAGATTTGAGAATGTGCAGCTACTTGTAGTCAAAACAAAACAAAGAAAATGTTAAATTAATATTATAACAGAAATTCATGGTTTCAAGTCAGACAAATGTCAGAAACAATATATTTATCCTGGAGCAGTCTGTCTGTGCATACAGGATGTTTTGAATTATAAACAATTCTCCATCTTTTTTAAACTCCTAAGCATGTCTCTTCACAAACCTTCCTTCCTTCCTTCCTTCCTTCCTTCCTTCCTTCCTTCCTTCCTTCCTTCCTTCCTTCCTTCCTTCCCTCCCTTGCCTCCCCTTCCCCTCTCTCTTTCTACCCAGAGATTATCTTACATATCCTATCTATGCGGTATGTTTTACTGTATTTTCCAAAAAATATATTTTATTTTTATATTTTATATTCAGTTTATATTCAGTTTATATTTTAAACTGAATTTAATTGAGTAGACTTTTTTAAAAACACAAAGCTAAGATAAAAATAAATAAATGATAAAATATTTTGCATATTACAAGATTTGAAGATATGCTAATTGTATTTGCAACAGACTTTGAAACATAATTAAGGAAAACAATATATTTAATTAATTTTCCCCCTTATGGCATGTTAGAGAGAGCACTGTAGAGAAAATGCAAAGTATTAACTTGCTTAAGTTACATTCAATTTATTTTGTAATGTTTGAAATGGCATTCATTTTATTCATTCAAAATTTGTTTTGATTTTTAATAAAACCTTTCCGTGCATTTCAAACTATAAGCTAAGTCCCAAAGATCCTGCCCAGATCAGCAATTCTGAATCCTTAGGGGCAGCTTAGACAATATAAAAAGTACATGCAGCCTAATCTTAGGGATGTTATGTTCCTAATAGATTTCAGCTAAATGTCTTTATTTCTAAAATTTGCTACTCAGTCTGAAGCAGCAGCACATTCAGAGCACTGTACAAGAAAAATCCAGCCAAAAATCCATAAAGGACATAATAAACCATTCTGTTAAAATAATCAATAAAAATGTTGCTGAAAGCAGCTGACTGTATAGAGTAAAAGATAACATTAATTAGAACAACAGATGGCAGCAACAGTGCAGAAAATTAAATTAAATGCCCTTAGAGAATAAAAATCTTTGGCACCAAAGAGGCAGCAGAAAAAAAAAGGGCCAGATGTGCCTCACTAGAAAGGATATTCTAAAGTTGACATGCTGTTAATGAGAAGACCTGCTCTGAAGTTGCCACTTGCCATTATCTCCTTCTGTGCAAACCTTCTGTACAGGGCTTCCAAAAATGAGCTTAGATAAGAATAGATGTGAAAAGGAGCTGCTTTACATGTTTTGGTTTCAAGCCAGAATTGAGCTGAAAGCAAACTGAGAGCCAGATAATAAAAATGGCATACTGTACAGTGGGCCTCTCTGTGGATAAACATCCCCCATTTTTTTAAACCAAAATACAATGAAAAATGCACTATCTACAGATAAACCAACTCTCAAACTTTTTGTATTGTTTTTTCAATATATTATAAAGGACTTCACATGTTTTCATAGTTTGTATCAATAAATATCTTCCAGAACAGATTCTGTTTTAAATTTTCACAATTGATTTATCTGCAGGTGGAACATTTTTCATGGTATTTTGGTTTGGTTTATCTGCAAGTATATGGGGTGCAGTGGTGTGATTGCTTGCAAAGCTGAGGATCTGGTCCGTGTGCGTGGGTTTGTGGTAGACACAGGTTTCCAGTTCTCCATTGCCTAGTCTCCTTATGTCATTGTTGAGGAATTGGAATTTATTGTCTGTTTCTTTTGTGTGTGTGAATTTGATCTCAGGGAATATGTTGTTGAGTAGGTTGTATGTTTCTTCAATTTGGGAATGATGAAAGTGTCATCGATGTAGCATGTCCATAATTTTGATTGGAGGGTGGGTAGAGTTATGGATTCGAGTCGCTGAATGACTGCTTCTTCTATTAGGCTGGATATGGGTGATCCCACCAGGGTACCTTGTACCTGCTTGTAGATTTTCCCATTGAACTTGAAGTATGTGTTGAGGCATAGATCCAGGAGTTTCATGATGGAAACTCATCATGTTCTGTAGTGGCATCATCTTTGTGGGTATGGTGCTTAGTGAGTAGGTGGTGTATGGTTTGTTTAGCCAGGCTGATGTCAATCGAGGGGAAGAGAGCGGTGACATCGAAGGAGACCATAATTTCTTCCTTGTTGATCTTGGTGTATTTGATGCATTGCAGAAATTGTTTCGGGCAGTTTATTGAGTGGGTTGACCCATATGCTCACCCTCATCCTACA